GTGGGCTTTTTTTTTTTTTTCCTTTCCAGCCTCTGCTTCTCCAGGTGCCACTTTGTCTACATCTGGATTATTTCTGGGACTCCCAACTTGTCCCTTCTGTCTTAAACACAGTTGTTTAAGACTTCCTCAGTTGCTATTTCCCTTCCTCTACCACTTAAATGTTGTCTTCAAGGATATGAAAGTCTCTTCTACTTTCATAGTAGAACTCTATTCTTTTTTTCTAAAAGAAAAAAAAAAAAAAGATTTTTTTCTTTTGCCCTTGGTTGAAAAGTACTAAAGTTACCCAGACCCATTCTCCTTACAGGGTAGTGGGAGATTGCAAATAACTAAAATAAGTTTGTCCCACTATAGTTAAGAGTTTGGTGTGGCATATAAAGTGGAGACAATGAGTGTGGACTTATTCTTTCATGAAGAGCCCGTGGAAAGGCAAATCTTGCTTTAGTTCCATTTTAGAATATAATGAGGATATAAATATTTCCTCATGCTCACCTTCACGTCTCTAGCATCTCACACGAGACCTGCTCTTTATTTTTTTCCCTTTCTCTGCTGTGGCACTTGGTGAAGTTCACATGCTATGAAATTCTCTCATGGTTTGCCAGCTCCCATCACCGAGCCACCAGAGCAGGCATCCCCCTTTGGCCCCGAGCCATTGGTAAACATCCCTGGAATGCTCTGTTTCAGCTCAGAATCACTTTGGTGGCCATAGCAACCGTCTTGACAGGCTCTGTGCTCTTTCCATGGGTGGGAGCTCTCCCTGATCGGGGATTATTGCCCATCAGGGATTGTCACAGTGAGAGAAGCAGGGCCGGGACCGTGCTCTCCACAGCCTAGGGAGGGTTTTGCATCTTTAGGTTAGTTTCTGATGAGAATGACGGCCTGCTGGGGCATCATGAAAAATGGCTTTCTGCTCCCTGTGGGAGACAATGCTTTCACTTGTTCTTCCTAATAACGTGTTTCCTGGTCGCCCAAGGTGTTAGCTGTTTTTTTTTTTTCTTTTTCCCTCTTCCTTTTGGTTGGACTTATTTTCTAGAGTTGACAGACATGGATTACTGCTTAGAGAGACCAAAAAGAAAAAAAAAAAAGCAAAGACATAGAGAAATTTTGAGAAACAAAAATTTTTCTGATAGAAGATTTTTGGGAGAAAGAGAAGAAGTCAGAAATGACCTTAGGTGTCTGATGGGGTATAAAGACCATTTTGTGAAACTGCTAGTTAGGAGGCTCCCAGCCTGTCCCTGAATACAGCGTGACAGAGAAGTTCTAATGAGTTTTTGGCTGCTACAGGCTTTTAGATGATCTTTCTGATTCTGATGGCTTATCTGGGAACACATGGTTTGAGATGTGATAAAAATTCCCTTTTCAATTTTTGAGAATAGTAGGTTTGGTAAGGTTCATCAGGATTTGTGTCAGGCCAGCTTATTTCAAATTGCATATTCTGTGAAATGATTTCACATTTATTTCACATTTCAAATCCAAAACCTTTATTCACTTATTTCCTAGAATGATTTAAACTTTTTTTTTTTATCTTTAAAGTGTCCTGATCTCCCAAAATGTTATGGGCCTCCCCTGCAAACCTCAGATTCAGGGAATATTCTTCATAAACTGCAATCAGCAATCATTATTGGTGAAACTTCTTTTGATTGAGATGAACTAAGTGATTAGAGTCATTACAAATATTTCATTATATTCATAGTGTTATGCCTGCTTGTTGATGGGAGAAGTTAAAAAGCAATCAAGCACCACCTAAGGGGAAAGTGTAGTGTTTTCCAAGGTATAGTACACGGATTATCTGTCAACAACCCCAAGGTGCTTGCTAAAATGCAGATTCCTGGGTATCACATTAAACTTACTAACTAGGACTTCCCTAGTGGTCCAGTGACTAAGACTCCACACTCCCAGTGCAGGGGGTTTGGGTTCGGTTCCTGGTTAGGGAACTAGATCCCACATACCACAACTAAAAAAAAAAAAAAAGAAATTAAAATTAATAAATAAACTTACTAACTAGAATATCTGGACAAGGCTTCCCAATGTATGTGTTTTTAATAAGCTGTCCATATGGTTCTTTTGCACAGTAGAATTAGAAATAAGTGGATCATCTGATGCCTCATTCTCTTTGGTGGTTACATTTTAAATTTCTAAAAATCCACTTTATTGGGCTGAATGGCTGTCCTACCTATCTGTCTATCTTCCATAAGAAAAATAGTGAGTGAATCTGTGGAGAGAGCTCTTGGGAACTATAACTGAATAAATGCACTCAGTTCCAAATACTGTCAAGTAAGAAATGAAGAAAATTAGTTACTAGGCAACTTTTCTGCCCTTATGTAAGCAGAAGGTTTTCTTCTGAAACTCAGAACTGAGACAACCATAAAATAACCATGTTAACCATGCCTGCCAGATAACAGACTCAATGTACCTGAATCTGAGCAAATTCTGGGAGACAGTGAAAGACAGGGAAGCCTTCATGCTGCCGTCCATGGGGTCACAAAGAGTTGGATATGACTTACCAACTGAACAACAAGGTAAGGAAATGATTGATTGAATCACAGGGAAGAGTCCAAGCACATCACTTTGAAGGAATCCATGAAGACAGCAAGGCCTTATAAGAGTTACCTTATTTTGTTCCATCAAAATTCCTCAGCAAAGAATATGTTGTCATCCCATTTTAGAGATGAGGAGACCGAGGCTCAGAGAGACTAAATTACTTGTGTAAGACTACCTTGCTTAATCGTGCTGGAGTTGAGAGTTGAACTCAGCCCTGTCCCCAGACTTTTCTGCTAGTGGAACACAAATTCTGCTGTAGATTATTCTGTTTCCAGTAGGAGAAGGAGGAAGGTCGGATCTGGCTCCCACTGTTGACCTAGAGACTTTATTAGGTATATACTATGTGCTGACACTCACACTAAGTTTCTTGAAGATTTCAGCCTTGGTTCATTTGAAGAAATCCCAGTTTGGAAATTGGGCTTGATTATTCCTAAGACATGCCCTGAAAGCCAGCCTCCTAGGCGGAGAGGTGTGTGAAGTTTGAGAAGTCTTCCACCATCACTTCCAGCTCTAAGATTATCAAACAGCAAGAAAGAGAAATCTATCAATTCTGTCTCCTCTCAAATTTTTCCAGGCAGCTCAATTTACATCCAGGCGCCACTGATTCTCCCCTAATTAATGTAATTATTATGAAGAACTGGCTCACACAATTATTGAGGCTGAGAGATTGTACAATCTGTCACCTACAAGCTGGAGAACCAGGACAGTCATGGTGTAATTTAGTCCATGACTGAAGGCCTGACAACCAGGACAGCTGATGGTGTCAACTCCAGTCTGAGGGCCAGAGATGAGCTGACCCTGAAGAAACTGAGTGATACCCACCCACATTGGGGACAACAGTCTACTGAGTCCACTGATTTACATGCTAATGACATCTGGAAACACCCTCACAGACAGACCCAAGAAATAATATGTAACCTAGGCACCTTGTAGTATGTTACAGAGACACATAAACCATCACATCAGGCATCTGGGATGAATTTTCCTTAGACTATCATAATAACTAATAACACATTTATTAGATACATGCTGTGTGCTGACACTTGTCCAAGCACTTTATACTAACTCATTTAATACACATGACACCTTTTAATAAGCTAATTAGCAAGTTACTACCACTATTTATATTTTTCACATGAGAAAACTGAAGCTGAGAGAACTTGCAGCTAAGAGATGAAACAAAAGGCTGAACATGAGAATAACTGCTGTCAGTCACTCCTTTATATTCGTGTTCACTGCAGATGATGCTATGATAAAATGAGCTACTGTACATTTATGACTACCTACCATATGTATGTCAAGCCTTCTGCTAGGCATTTTATATAAGATGTCTGTGATAGTTACAACCGTGCTAATTAAGATAGATTTTAACCCATTTTACAGATGAAAAAACTGAGGCTCTACGTATTAGCTAGTTTGACCGTGTGTGCTGTGCATGCTAAGTTGCTTCAGTCATGTCGGACTCTGTGTGACCCTGTGGACTGTAGCCCACCAGGCTTCTCTGTGCATGGGATTCTCCAGGCAAGAATACTGGAGTGGGTTGCCATGCCCTTCTCCAGGGGATCTTCCTGCGTCTGTTATGTCTCCTGCATTGGCAGGCAGGTTCTTTACCACTAGTACCATGTGGGAAGCTCAATTTGACCATAGCTCGTGCTTTCAATTAAACCGTCATAACTTTTTGATTGTATATATTTCTTGAAGCCATCTCGTCAATTTTTCAATGACAGGATATTTTTTTCTACTACTTAGCCTCTGAACTGACAGCCAGTGATTGGTATATGATCTTGTGTATATTAGGGTTTGGACAGTTTCCTCTTATGAGCATAGGAGAGGTATGAGGACATGTAGGTTGATATTCTAGGGCTCTCATGGGAACAGATCCTTCTAGAAGTAGAGCTGGGCTTTTGATGCTGTCTGAACACAACCCCAGTCCCAGGCTTTTCCTGGTACCTTCATGTCCCTTCTGATCTGGCCTCAGGATGATGGCAGCTCCTTCACACAGCCCTTGTCCTGCCAAATTGTTTTGATGATTCATTTTAATCTTGGAAAGTGTATTTTTTATACTTGGTCACCTCTTTCAATTCTCTGAAGTCTGTATATAATACATACATTTCTGGTGTTTCTAAGCTGGCTCCTGACTGACTTGATTACAGAAAACAAACTGTGATCAGTGAAATGTCACATATTTGCAGCTTGTTTTTAAAACAAGTCTTCAAATTTGCCCTTGATTCTAGCACCTGTCACTGTGTGATGTAAATGTGTATGGATCCCTTTCCTTCACTAGTCAGCCACGCTCTAGATATTGCTGTTCAGAATCCCATGGACAGAGGAGCCTGGCAGGCTACAGTCCATACTACCATGGAGTCAGCCATGACTGAGCAACTAACACACACACACACACACACACATATGGTAGCTATTAATCACCTAGGGCTGTTTATTTATTTATTTATTTTTTCTGACACATCATCTTATTTTATTCAAATAGCAGTCTGCTCACACATGGTCCAAGAACACTTGAATAATAAAGCAAATATAATCACATGTTAAAAATAGGTCTTCAAACATCATAGCCAATGATGCCACGCTTGCCTATGATCTCACCAACATAAGACCACATCCACACCTCAGTGGCCCCCAAACCATTCAGTAGAGCTTCCTTAACAGTGAGCTGTTTGAAGCTACCGGTTTTAGCACTGTTGATAAGTTTTTTCAAGCTCTGAATTGCTGTAGGGATCTCAGCAAGGGTTGGAGGAACCAGCTCAACCTTGGCATAGTACCAAAACGTGGCCAATCGAGGCTTTGAGTAAGTCACAGCAGCGTTGACCAGCGCCGGGGCCTTCTCCGCGAGGTTACGGACAAACTGGGCCATGGTCCTAGGACAGAGAGCCCATCTCCCCGACTGGCCGGCTGAATGTCACTCGCCCAGAAGCGCCTAGGGCTGTTAAAAGATAATAATTAGAGTTTAATGAAATTAAGAATTCACTTCCACTGTTACATTAGCCACAGATCAAGTGCTCAGCAGACATGAGGCTAGTGGCTATCGAATTGGACAGTGCAGATGTAGAACATCTCTGTCATCGCAGGAAGTTCTATTTGACAGCATTGTTCTAGGAGGTAGAGACCAGATCTGATTGTTAACAATATCTGACTGGCATATGGGTGACTAACCGGTGGATGAACCAGATATGTGTTTCTGGCTTGAGTTTTATCTAAGGCTGCTAAGACTAATATGTAGAATCTGTGAATCAGCGACATTACCAGTTACACTCCCTTTTGGCTCCATGGGGTCCAGTCAGAGAGTTCTTGGTATCACGGCAGGTAGGGGAGGTTATTCCTGGACTAATCTTCCCAGTGGTCTCAGCTCTGTGTTTTGTGGCTTCTGTCATCCCCTGACTTCTGACTTAAGGTCCTGGCTATGTATTAAATGATAGAAAGTTGTTCTTCCTCTTACAACCCAGCAACAGAAAAATTAAAAGTTAATAATTCTGGCAGGTTGTCATGGCTTTAGGGCTGGACCAGGTTTATTGGAGACTATAGTTCAGTCTTCTGTCTGTGCCCTCGAAAAGCATTTACCTTCAGTGGCCTTTGTCTCTCCTGGACCACAGCACTGGAATCTGTGGCACTTAGGGAGATGCGTCGCCCACCTTCTGCAAGGATGCTGTGTTTGGTAGGGAAGGGACTGTGATACAGGACTTAAGGGCTGGCCTCTAGGCCCAGAGGTCATGGGCCAACCTCTTGGGACATGTGAGCACTATACCCTTTTTCAACACAAAAATTCTAGGTCTTTGCTTTTCTCCTTTCTGCTATTTTTTGGAAGTCAGTCTTGTCTTCCTGGCTAGGTTATAAACCTTGAGGGCAGGGGTCACTGCCCCTCTTAGACATCTTAGCCCTGCGCTGGCCATGTGACAGATACAGATTGATCATCAAGAAGGGTGATTTGGGGGGTCTGATTTTATCTTCTTTCCTGTGTATATAGTGGGCCACAGGTGATATCTTTCCCAGTGATCTATGTACTATAATTGAGTGTCTTGGATACATCTTTATCCCAAATCAACTTCTTTCTGTTCTTGATTTCAGAATATGTTCATCTTGTTGTCTTCATCACCATGGGAAGAAACAAACTGATCTGGTAACTTCTGACATTTTCAAATGAACAGGAATTTCCTTCCAGGACAGGCTAATGAGTTTTAGTGACAATGCTCCGTTGCACACCTCCAGGGGGCTCCACTCACTATGTGAATATCACCCCCTTGACTTGTGCAACACAGGACCCTGAGTGCTGAGGGTCGGAACTGGTTTGATAAGTTCCCCCATGTCTTTTACAATACTCTTGTTTTTATTCTTCAGCCTACTGTTTTTACCTATGGTAAAAGCTGAAGGCATGACAGCCTAGACCAGGTGACTCTTCAAGGCCTCGTGGCTTTGCAATTCTAGAACAGACTATTCACAAATTTCACACTGCCAGTTTCCCACTGGACCCAAAATCATTGCACAAACTGAAGTATAACATCAGGTGCATCCAGATGATTAATACTTTGATGGGAGTTGAAGAGAAGGAGCAGAGGTTGCAGGCAACTGTCCTCAGTGGAAGACTAGGAAAAAGCAATTGGTCCTAAAGATTCTGAAGGTCCTACCCCTGTTCTTCATTAGCAGAGGGCAGTAGAGTTTCAATGCCAAATGACTCTCCCCAAGGTAGCTCAGCCCTTTGTCTCAGCCCCACCATCTGGGGCCAAGGAGGAAGCAGTAGGCAGAGTCTGATTTAATGGGTCTTGAGACATCTCCCTGCCTTAAATTTCTTCCACTGCCCAGTCTCTAACACTTGAAAGGAACTAGTAGACATTACTGGGACTTCCCAGGTGGTGTTAGTGGTAAAGAACCCTCCTGCCAATGCAGGAGACATAAGAGACATGGGTTCGATCCTTGGGTGGGGAAGATCCCCTGGGGGAGAGCATGGCAACTCACTCCAGTATTCTTGCCTGGAGAATCCCATGGACGGAGGAGCCGATGGGCTACAGTCCAGGGGATCACAAAGAGTCGGACATGACAAGTGACTTAGCAAGCACGTAGTAGACATTATTACTTTTTGTATCAAGTAACCCTTCCTGTAAAGAATTAAGGAAAGGTTTAAAATGAGTGTATTAGTGTTAGAAATCAGAATAAGGTTACCCTTGGGGCTGATATTGAGTGAGAAGCGAAGCAAGAAGTTTCTTGGCTACTGAAAAGCTTCTCTTCCTGAACTTAGGTGTTTCCTCTGTGAAAGTTTTATGGGACTTTGCAGTTGTAACTTCTATATTTTTCTGCATGTTTATAGTGCTTCGAAATAAAGTTTATTTAGAATAATTCTTAGAAGAGAGCCTCAGGAAGCATTCTCAGGTATTTATAACTTAGAACAATGGGGTGAGTTTATTTCCAAAAGACACTGACAGGCATGCTGGGATGCTGAGAGGAGAAAGAGATGACAGAGGTGAACGGAGGTGAAAGGGCAAACTTGTGTTCTTTGGGCTTCTGCCAGGGGCTCATCCTGCCCTGGTTCTTTCAGGAATCTGAGAATTCCCGAGAGAATTGGATACTTTTTCTTCAGGTCCATTCTCGGTCTCCTTCAAAGATATGAGAGTTGACACATACACACTGATATATTTAACGTGGATAACCAACAAGAACCTAACTATTTAGCACAGGAAACTGCTTCATGTTATCTGACAGCCTGGAGGAGTTTGGGGGATAATTTTTTGTTTGTTTAGTCGCTAAGTTGTGTCCAACTCTTTTGTGACCCCATAAACGTAGCCCATCAGGCTCCTCTGTCCATGGGATTCTCCAGGCAAAAATACTAGAGCGGGTTGCTATTTCCCCCTCCAGGGAATCTTCCCGACCCAGGGATCAAACCTGTGTCTCCTGCATTGGTGGGCAAATTCTTTACCATCTGAGCGACCTGGGAATACCTTGGGGGAGAACAGATATATTTGTGGCTGAGTCCCTTTGCTGTCCACCTGAGACTATCACAGCATTGTTAATCGGCTATACTGCAATATAAAATAAAAAGTTTTTGAAAAAAGATGCATGAGGTTAGCATTATATAAAGGAGATTGGCATGTAGAGCACCTTCGCTGAGTCAGATCCAAAGCTGGCAACAGGAGAAAGTGGTCCTCTTGGGTAGTTAGCTTCAGGGAGAGCATGGAGCCAGTCCTTACTTCTGTTGGAATGCACGGGGTGTATGATTTTCCAGCGTGACCCAGCTCTGGTTAGACGAGAAGAGACCAGTGAACTGTGGCCCCTTGGGTACCAGGTGTACAAAGCTCTGTGTTTATATGTTGGAGGGCAAGGGAGATGCAGAGTTCAGCTGGGAAATCTTCCCACCTCACTCTCCCTGAACCAGCAGCATCTCTTCTTCTCCTCTCCTGTCCGTTCCCTTCCCTGCAATATACCTGGGATCCTGAGGCCAGCAACCCCCTTCCTATGAGCAGATGTCCTGTCCTGCCTCCCCTCCAGCTGATGAGTCACCCAGCTTTTCTTGGGCTCCGTGCAGCTTCTGAAAAGTATTTAGGATGGAAAGGTAGCTGATTTCCAGGTGCCTGCTGCCAAAACTGGCTTTGTGTAAAAATGCAAATGGAAGGAAGCAGTTAAGAAAATGCTCATTTGACTTTTGGGCACCCTCATTCATGTTGCCCGTAAAACAGTTATTGTGTTCGCAACTGCAGTCCCATCTGTTTCTTCTGAACCACCTGGGTCCAGAATTTGAGGCTGGAGAAATACCAGTACATCCTTCTTGTTGATGTTACTTTTTTTTTTCTTCAAAGGCTTTAGTATTAGATTGATGGAAGTTGCACAAAGGGACTGCACACCAGCCATGCCCGAGGAGTCCTTGCCTTCTATTTCATGTCCGTGGAACAAATGAGCTCCATTTGCAAGAGGTCCACTGTCTCTTCATGTCCCTGGTCTTTGCCTCAGAGTAGAAATAAAACCGAATCTCAGCCCTACATGCGTCTGTTTCTAGCTACTTTACAGTCTGGACCTTGTCAATTGCTTCCTGTCCCAGAGGTTTTTTTCTCAAAGAAAGATGCTGAGAAAAAAAAAAACAAAACTGTCAGCAAATGTGAGCAAATTTGAAATCAGATGTCAGCTATTGGAGTTGGTAGTTAAAATATCATCACTGTGCCTTTGTAAAGTTGTTTGCATGGCACTTTGATAAGCCTCAGTCCATTTGCTCCTTCTCACAGTCCTGTGAGGTGGTAGGCATTATCTACATTTTACAGGTTGAGCGACCTATTCAAGGTCACACAGCTATTCTTAAGACTCCAGTAAAAATTTTTTTTTTTCTATTCTTCTTATTATCGAAGATACTTAAAAGTGAGTAATCAAAATAAGAAGGTGTGATTTTTGTATATTCAGATCTGGTTATATTACTGGTGTGAAGAATCAACTCATTGGAAAAGTCCCTCATGCTGGGAAAGATTGAGGGCAGGAGGAGAAGGGGCTGATAGGGGATGAGATGGTTGGATGGCATCACCGACTCGGTGGACATGAGTTTGAGCAAACCCCGAAAGATAGTGAAGGACAGGGAAGCCTAGTGTGCTGCAGTCCGTGGGGTCACAAAGAGTCTGACGCGATTTAGTGACTGAACAGCAGCAACAGTGAGGCAACCGTTTTGGAAAGACCCCAAAGTCAAAGCCTGTTCAACAGAGAGCATTTCCCTTCATGGAACCCCTTTTGCTTCCTAACTTGGGGTGAGGACAGGGAGTGTACTCAGCTTATCTTCAGACTCATCTACGGAACAGACCAGCCCTGGCTTGCTGAGATGTGACGAGCAACCTTGTACTTTGGGACCTGTTCACCGTTGTCATAACCTCAAACTTTCCAGGTTTATTTTTGTAAACAATATTCATTGAACTGTTATGTTGACTCTGGAGACCCTAAGACAATGAAAAGACATGAAATCTGACATCTGAAAAGAGGCTAAAAACAGAGAAGACTGTAGGCCATACCATTTTCTAGGAACTTTGCATATATTAACTCATTTAATCTTCATGGCATCCCTTGGTTATCCTCATTTTTCAGTTGAGAAAGCTCAAACTGAGCAAATCATCTGTCCCACATCACAGAGCTAAAAAGTGGAGAAGCTGGAATGTGAACACAGGCTAATTCCAAAGTCTGAACTCTTGGTTACTCCATTGTGATGCTGCAAACAGGGTGTCTGTGGCAAGCCATCTTTTTCATCAACATAGGATTCAGATCTTGAGCGTTAAGTCTGTCATAGGAGGTCATTTGCAAAGCAGCTTCTAAATATCTTAAATGGCACTCAGAAACTTTCATGAAGAGAAGACAGAGTTGTCGGCTATACTACCCTTCTTCTAGACCTGACCTCCAGAAAGAGTTAGTCATTGCCATCATTTCCCAACTTATTGCTAATTCCCATATCTGTGAGATGAGAGTGCCTGCTTTAGACTCCTGGAAACTCAGGTCTCAGATCAGGAACTCAGTATTATGTTTCTTTGTTTCCTTGAGAGAAGAATGGCATTAAACACTTCAAGTCAAACCACCATGGGACTTGCCTGGTGGTCCAGTGGTTGAGAATCTGCCTGTCAGTGCTGGGGACGTGGGTTCGATTCCTGGTCCAGAAAGATTTCACATGTCATGGGGCAGCTAAACTTATGCACCACAGCTATTGACCCTGAGCCCTAGAGCCCATACTCCACAACTACTGAAGCCCTCACACCCTAGAACCTATGCTCTGCAACAAGAGAGAGAAGCCATAGCAATGAGAAGCCTGCATGCTGCAATTAGAAAGTAGCCTCCGCTCATCATGATGGGAGAAGGCCGGCACACAGCAATGAAGACGTAGTGCAGTCAAAACTAAATAAACAAATAAGATGAAACCACATGTGAGCATGTAGCTGGGCTACCTACATACAGATAAATGTTTCCCCAAAATGTCCATGAAATACGAACTACAAGTTCCATAAGAGGGCAACCAGGAAGCCCTGTTCCTAATTTGAGATTTATAGATAACCAGCAATGGGTTTGAGGGGTAGAGGCAATCCACAAACCCGGAAAATTGTTTGCTACTTTTGGATGTGTGTGTGTATGTACACTTTTTTTCATTAGTGTCTCAAAGGGCTCATGACCCCCAAATATTTAATAGCTATGACTATGAAGACATTTCACTGAATTATTTATGTGTCACTCTTCTGTGAGATCAAATGGCAGACTATGAAAGTCTTCTGAATTTCAGAGGTCATCCTATCTATATAATTTTCACTTTATGAATTTTCTTTGTCCAGATAAAGAATGGATTCAAATAAAACCTTTGTCTTTCATGTATTTACAGACTGGATTTTTCCATCTACCACATGGAGACTTTTTCATTGAGCCTATCAAAAAGCATCCTCTGGCTGAGGGAGAGTACCACCCACACGTCATATACAGGAGGCAGAGGCGAGGCATCCCAGAGATGAAGGAGCCAACCTGTGGATTAAAGGGTATTGTACTTAATCTCCTCACTGGATGGGGGAGTTTGTTTTGCTCTATTTTTTTTTTCCATTTATGTGACCTGTTATTATTCAAATCTGTTTTCTCTTCCCCACTCTGTGGCCGGAAAAGATGTACCCTTATACATTTCACTTCTCTGTACTCAAGTCTGTATTCTTAACAGGAAAGGGGAAAGGAATCTCCTACATCCTTGCCACACTGGTTGATGATATTTATATGGTATTAATAATGCTGAATTTTTTTTAAAGTCTCTTTTTAATTCCTTAGAGGAAGATAGTTTAGAGACCATGCTTTTCAGTATCAGCAATGTTATAATACATCAATGTGGAATATTACTAGACAGCTTGTCATATCTGTATATGCAAGGCAGATTTAAATATTTGATGATGCTGATAATGATATGTGAAGAGAAACTGAAAAAATACAAACATGTTATCAGATAATGAATTCAGCTAAGGTTCTTTTGGCTGAAGTTTTCCTTGAATATAAATCTTGTTCCATCAACTATTTGCACAGCTTCATTAGAGTAGGAACTCCCTCCCCCAAACAGTATATAACATAGTATAGGTGCAAAGTAGAAATTCAGTAAATCATTAAAATGAAATGAAGAGTGACTTGTAGCCACACAGATGAATCTAGAATGTAGAGTGCATCCAGTCCACATAACACTGATAAAAAGAAAAGAAATGTGAGGCTTCTAGATGTGGAGGAAGTGTCAGTTCTTTGTGACTATCTCCTTTCCTAAGACAGTAAGCGAAATGCAGTATTTACATGACAGCTAGAGACTGCAGAATAAGTTAATGTGCTGGCAATTATTCTGAAAGTATGCTTGACATTTGGAATTTTAAAGTCTTGACATATTGAAATGTGCTGGTCTCTCTCAGCCAGGTAATTGCAGTGATCTTATACCATGTTACCCTGGAATTCACTGACACTAGCCATGTCATTAACCCACATTAAGGTATACCTTGTGCTTAGGGAGATCGGTGCTGCCAGATCGAATTACTGTGATTATCTCGAGAAAGATCAGCTTTTCTTGCGGAAAATATTCTATCGTTATAATGTTCAAAGCAGGAACACACCTGATATTGAATAAAAAGATGTAGTTTAAAAGTATTCTAGGACTTCAGGAGAGAAAGTGAATCACTTTCCCCTAAAATGTGTCCCTTCACTTATGTTTATTTCCCAAATAGAAAGGTACTTGGGAATTTCACAGTCTCTTTTAATATGGCCCAATGAAATCAACCCAGACCTTTAATGTGATGTTATTTTGTTATCAATTTGATCAGTTTGAACTGAAATTTCTTAACCAGTTTTGTTTGCTGTTCTAAGTGTTATATTTCCTGAGCCCTGTCAAAGTTCTTGTTCATCTTTCTGGATTCTATGTTAAATGATGGGAAAATACAGATTGCTGGAATTAGATCTAGAGCAAATTTCAAAGCTTCATTTTATTGACATTGACAAGCTCCCTTCTCTTTGGGATTTTGGTGGGAACATATCATACTGGGACTTGAGTGGAGCTTAGATGGAAGTATCTAGGGGGAGTCTGGTTTTTGGAAGCTGGGGAAGTGGAGTCAGGTTAGATAACAACAGCTGCAGGGTCATCTATGGCAGAAAGGGGTCCAAGGAAGTAAAGTCAGGTTTTGGGATTTCATACATCAGGACACTAGGCTGGAAACACAGGGTCTGGTTCCTGGTGTGTGTTTTTATGGTCAGAAACTATTCATTTAGTCAACGAGTATCTGTTGGGTGTCTGTTGGGTACCAACACTTTATGTCTGGTGCTCTCCAAGATTCTGTGGGCACAGTTGTGGGTAGAATTAGACCTTGGTCTGAAGAGCATCAACCTGGGTTTAGGACAGAGATCCAGTCCAGATTTTATCTTTAAAATATGTGGTAAGATCACAAAAGGAAATGAAATCTTAATATATGCATTGGACTTTGTGTTCCACCACGTTGTGTTTGTGCCAGGACATGGAGCTGTAATTCCTTTTTTTCCTGATGTAGACACTCACATTATGTGACTTTCACTTGGACTGGCCTTCTGTGAATGGATCTGAACTGCTTCCAGTTTGGGGCTATTATACATTATATTGCACAGATCATCTTGTACATGTTATTTAAGAACACAGGCTCACAGGGTTTTCCAGGGCATATAGCTAGTATGCAATGAAAGCAATGTCTCATAGGATATATATATATCTGTGACTTTAGCAGATGTAAAATTGCTTTCCAAAGTTGTTCAGGAGCAGTGAATATAGCAGTTCCCATTGTTACATATTCTGTCTAATACTTGATATTCTCATTTATAAGTTTTGCCAGTCTGGTGAATGTGGAATGTTATCTTTCTCTGCTTACTGGTGAAGTTACACATATTCCATTGTGAAGTCGGGCCCCAAATCTATGGTTTGTGACCGTAGAAGCTCCAGGAGTAATTTCCCGCCCTCTACTCAGAGGTGAAGCTCAGAGAGCCAAGTTTAGGTTTGTGTATTTGTTTCTTTGTTTCTGGGTTCACTTTTTCACTTAATGGATCCTGATCTGGCTTTTCACCTAGAGGGGTCCTAAACTTGCCTCTTCTTTCCAGAACAGAAGTAGGGGAGCTCCATGCACCAATCAGGGGTCAGCAAGGGAAGCAGAACCAATAGCAAGTATCTGTTAAGAGGTTTCTTGCAAGAAATTGTTTACATGATACTGGGGGGCTGGCTAGGCAAATCCGGAATCAGTTGGCAGGAAGGGCAGGCTGCCGCTCTCATCCATAGGCTGAAATACCTGTCCATGGACAGAATTTCTTCATCTGGGAAGTTTCAGCTCTGCCTTTAAGGTCCTTTGACTGATTGAATCTGGCCTACTAGATTATCAAGAATAATCTTAAATTCAACTGATTATGGACTTCAATTACAGTTACAAAATGCCTTCAGTCTTCTGGTGGCTCAGTGGTAAAGAATCTGCCTGCTAATGCAGGAGACCCATGTTCAATCCCTGGGTCAGGAAGATCCCGTGGAGAAGGAAATGGCAACCCACTCCAGTATTCTTGCTGGGAAATCCCATGAACAGAGAAGCCTGGAGGCTACAGTGTATGGGGTTGCAAAGAGTTGGACATGACTTGGCAACTAAACAATAGCAAAGTGCCTTCACAGTAATACCCAGATTAGTGTTTGTCTGAATAAATAGGACTGTACCCAAGGCGAGTTGACACAAAAAAGATCATCACCCTGCATCTTTTACTTTTCTCCTGAATTTTGGCTGACTTCTTTTTGATTTATGGCCTCTGAGGACTTTTTTAGCCCCCTTTTTAAATGCTGTAAACTTTGTTAGAGGCTTAATACTGGGAGAGATTTTTTGGAGTATCTAGTCCACCATGTTGAAGTCTTGGGTGGATTTTTCATCTAAGTCATTTGGAAATGTTCCTGTCTAAGTAGTCTGTACAAATGTTAAATATTATAATAGCATTAACAGTTGCTCATTGGAATTAGCATATCAGATCACTAATCTGATATTGTGTGTTTGGGGGGGGGTATTGTTTATAGTTTTGTTCTGATTTAATGGAAATTCCGTGAGTTGACGATCTAAGCAATCACCATACTTTCTGTTGAGTCTAAAATGCACTGTTAATTTTCCTCGGCTAAGAGCACACTTTCTTGGTTGGTACAGCCTGCTTGAGGCTTATCTTGAATTTCTTGAATTCCTGATTGCCATATGATTATAGCTACTCTACAGTGATCCATGTTTTGCCTTGCTATGAGATAGTTAAATTTTTAATTGTTATTCAATAGTTTTAATTTTTCTTTTAGTGAAGTGATGATTATTTTTGATGACCTGTCTTTCAGGACTGATAGGAGGATTGGCAAAGTGCTTCTAGCTTTTACCAGTGAGAGGAATGAAAAAATTATTGGAAAGAACTTGGGGAAATACTTCTTTGAGAAAATAAAATGGTAACCTGGTTAGTTTTGTTTGCTTAGTAAAATCCAAGACCAAGACTGTAGGAATTCAGAGCACTAACACCTTAGGAATGTTTCTCTGTAGTGATGAGATACTTATTTATCCAGTCAAAAGCCCTTATTCATTAGCCAGACCTCACCATGGTAGTTTCTTTCTTTGCATTTTCTCAGCACTTGACAATTTTTTGACTCATTTCAGGTTCATACGTTCCCATTCCCCAAACAGGAAACAGCTTCCCTAGGAAGCGTGGCATCTGTTCATGTAATCTCTTCCAGGTGCTCTGTGCTGGGCATATGTTGTCAGAGTGAGTGGGACTGTGCTGAAGTTGGGGTAAAATTTGGAAGACAAAGGACACTGGGGAGTGCATTCTAGGCTGGAAAGGGGATTTGGATCAATAAGAACAAAGGATCACATTCAGCTAAAAGGTGATTCTCTCATACAGCAGAAAGCTTTTTTTCCTCCTTAGAAATCTGATTCCTTTTTAAAAATGAATTTTTATTCAAGTATAGTTGCTTTACAATGTTACGTTCGTTTTTACTGTACAGTGAAATGAATCAGCCGTACATATATACGTATCTCCTCTCCTTTGGACTTCCTTCTCATTCAGATCACAGAAGAAATGTTCTGTGAGTAATTAGCTGTCACACTACTTTTCCCTTCCCACAACTCTGTAGGGACACGCATACAAGGAATCTTGATGAGAAGTGGCTCCTAGCTTTGTCCTTCATCCTTGTGTTTCCATGTACCTTCAGTGAGTCTGGGAGGAGATTTATCCTGTTCTCACCCACCTCTGGCTCCCTCCTGCTGCCTGCAGAGATGGGGAGGGCTGTCTCATCCCTGCATCCCACTCTGGTATGCTTATGGCTGGAGCCATCAATGACCCTTACAGGACCGTGGTACTGTCCCTAAAAAATGAACGACTCAGTCTCTAGCTTAAAGGTCTGTGTGGCAAACAAACTCCTGGGTTTTCTTCTTTGATTCAAGCCTTCAATCAACACACATTACCAAGTCTTGTCATTTCTGCTACCTAAATAGTTTTCTAAATATGTCTG